AGCGGCGGCGGCGCGTCCCGAGCCGTGCGCGCCATGTCGGGCGGGCCCCCCAAGGCCCTGCCGTCCACTGGGCCCCAGTCCCTGCGCGACATGCCGCACCCGCTGGCCGGCTCCAGCAGCGAGGAGGCCGTGGGCGGCGACAGCACGCCTAGCCCAGACCTGCTGACGGCCCGCAGCTTCGGCGACAAGGTGAGGCGCGCGGGGCTGGGGACTGGGAGGCTCGTTTCGCTCCCGAGCGGGATGAGGGATCTGGAGCCCCGCTGGGCACCGGGCCGCGCCCACTCTGGCCCCCCTTTCCGGGGGACAGGCGTGCCCTCGCCCCAGAGCCTTGGGAAAGAGCGTCTCCTCCCGGCCGCCTCCGCGGGGTCGCAGCCTCAGGCGGAGCGGCCAGAGGGGACGGGCTTGCCCGGCTGTGACTGGTCGCGAGGCCAGTGACAGCTGGAGGGGAGGGGTCCCGCCTGCCCGTTGTGGCTGGAGGCGTGCGTGCAGTGCTCAGAGCCTGTGTCCTGGGATGGGGTCCCGGTTCCTCCAGGTGCATCTCTGAAGGCTGAGCTGCCGAGTCGCTTGTAGCTCCTCCAGTTTGCTGCGACTGCAAAGAAGCAAGAGTTAATGGTTTTCCGTGGTCTTACTGCCAGAGGTTTCTTACCCCCGTCTGTCATGGGGGCAGTGATCTTTGTTTAGGTTTGCTTTGTGCCCCGAGGAGTCACCTGACTCCGACCCCAGCCGGCAGCGGGAGGAAAATGGCCCTGGGGTTTTCTGTCTGGGGCTCCACTGACCTCTCACTGTCTCCCACGCTGTTTAGGTTTGGCAGAGGCTGGTTTTGTGGCTGAAGGGAAGAAAGGTCGCCCTTTGACCTTTTTTGCGTAGAGGGGGGCTCCTGATTTTCTTAGAGCAGCATATGAGCCTCCTGCTGCTTTGAGAGACCGTGAGGGGTTAGGGACGGCATCTCCCTTCCTCCCGTTGCCACTTCAGCTGTAATCAGGACTTGAGCTGTGATTGTATCAGCGCTGCTGTTGCCACTTAGTCACTAATTGCAGAAATTAGAATTGTTCTCCACACCTGTGATCAGGTGTAAATACTAAGTGAATGCCTCATAGTAAAATACTAAGTGAAGGCCTCCTTGTCCCAATACTGAATGGAATGAGGGGACCCAAATTTCTTTCCCCCCTTAGATGGGAGGGCATGTGGTACAGTAAAAATGAGTGTGAGTGCACTGAGCAGTCAGATTAGCCAGGAAGTGGGACTTGATGTACCTTCCCAAGAGGGTTTGTGAAAGCAAAGAGTGGGGCAAGTTTGGGGGGGAGGAGGCAAAGCATTAGTAGCAAGTAAACTTTAAAAAGCTAATAAAACCAGTGGATTGAGCAGCTGGATGTGTGTGTGTGTGTGTGTGTGTGTGTCTCTGTATTTATTTTATAGAAGATTATAGACTATATGAAGGCTTGAGTCGCTTGGAAATACCTTGCCCATATTTGACACTCAATAAGTAATTGTTGAATGAATAATTTGCTTTCTTTTTTTTTGTTTTGCTGTACGCGGGCCTCTCCCTGTTGTGGCCTCTCCCGTTGTGGAGCACAGGCTCCGGACGCGCAGGCTCAGCGGCCATGGCTCACGGGCCCAGCCGCTGCGCGGCATGTGCGATCTTCCCGGACCGGGGCATGGAACCCGTGTGCCCTGCATCGGCAGGCGGACTCTCAACCACTGTGCCACCAGGGAAGCCCAGTTTGCTTTCTTATGTACAGAGAACTTGGTCCTATGTGCATGTAGGATAGGAATTGAGGTTAAACTTATAATTTTTTTCTCAGGTCTGTGTAGGATAGTGAATTAATTATATATCGCTGTGTAACCAATTACTGCAACATTTAGCATCTGAAAATAGTGTCTTTGGGCGAGAAATCTGCAAGCAGCTTAAATCTGGGTGGTTCTGACTCAGGTCTTTCATGAGCTTGCATTCAAACTTTGACTAGGGCTGCTGAAGACTGGATTGGGGGTAGGTCCTCTTCCAAGCTCACTATCTTGGCTGTTGGCAGACCTTAGTTCCTCTCCATAGGGCTTCTTGAGGTGGCAACTGCTTTCCCCCAGAGCAAGTGATCCAAGAGATGGAGAGATCCCAAGACTCAAACCACAGTCCTGTGTAATCTAGTCTCGGAAGTGACATATCTCTGCCATATTCTATTGGTCACACTGGCCATCACTGATACAACCTGGGAAGAAGGTATGAATACCAGGAAGTGGGAATCATCGGGGTATCTTGGAAGCTGCCTGCTACAGATGGCTCTTTTAAATATCTGCTTAATGATCCATTCTTGGAGGACACCTGATGCAGAAGTGTGGGCATTCTGCTAGTAAGTACTGGGAGGACAAATGCTCTGTATCCCTGAGATCTAGTTGGTGGACAGGAAGTCAAGCCTAAGTCTAATTACTTCTGGCTTCCCTTACAGGGACAGTTCCATGAGAGAGATGGTCTTGAAGGCATTATTATTAATTATTGAATATATAATGAGTCTCCTTAGAGCTGCGAGGAGCATCAAAATGACTTCACTCCCAAAGGCCTGATTTATAGTTAGCCACTTTTCCTTAGAGGGCAGTATAATTTCTTCCTCTGACTGGGAGTAACATTTTCCTTGAATCTTGGCATACACATATGTTCTCGTAACTCTGGAGAAATTTCTGCAGAGAGAAGCTACCAAGCAACAGAGGTGAGTCAGGACCGGTGGAAGGAAGCCTTCCCTTTGCTCTTTCTCTTGCCCAGAAAGTGTGGGGTTCACCGGAGGGGAGGTAGGAGCGTTGAGTGCTGTGGTCTGTCTTTGAAAAGAAGCCTGTGTCTTCTTGCCTTTTATAACGGACCTTGGGGTTGTGATCCTGGATGTCTGATTCAGAGTCAGTTCTGAGGGTTTGACAGGCTGCTCATAGTGCAAGGTTATTGTATTATGCAGAGGGGAATTGCTGAGGTGCCATGAACAGGAAAGCCTTTTGTCTTGGTCCAGTGGACGCTTCTCAGTGGCCTCTGGGGTTCTGGGAAGTAGGAAAAGACCAAATGTCATGGCCTCTTCATCCACAAAATTGAAAATCATTCAAACCATGGTGTGAAGGGAAGAATCTTTTCTATCTACCAAGGGTTGCTAGGAATTCTTTTGATGCTGGCTAAACTCCCCAGGCTTCTAGGCCTGTATCTTTCATCTCCACCTGAAATGTAAATACACCACTTGGCCCTTTGGTTTCATCTGCAAACCACTTTGGGCTTGCTTCTCCCCTGACTCAGCCTCTAACTCTTGTGTACCTCCCAAAACTTAACATCAAGCCCCACCTGTGGTTAACACCTCTACCCACATCCTCAGTCTCTTCACTGAACCTTCCACCTACTTCCTGCCCCCTTAAGTCACTGCTTCCCCTGAAGTCTTCAAAATGGAGGTGTCTTTTCCTCCTACACTCCACTTATTTCAGGTTCAGGAGATGTGGGTCAGTAGTGTCCCATTGTGGTGTGCGTGCTTCTCATTGCGGTGGCTTCTGTTGTTGCAGAGCACGGGCTCTAGGTGCACAGGCTTCAGTAGTGGTGGCTCGCAGGCTCTAGTGCGCAGGCTCAGTAGTTGTGGCACATGGGCTTAGTTGCTCTGCGGCATGTGGGATCTTCCCGGACCAGGGCTCGAACCCGTGTCCCCTGCATTGGCAGGCGGATTCTGAACCACTGCACCACCAGGGAAGTCCTCTCCACTGCCTTTTAACAATCAAGTGCTGCCCCTTTGAGGCTCATGTCATTGTATTTGCTCACTCAGCAAATATTTGAGGGCCTCCTACGAGCCAGGCGCTGTTTTAGGAACTCAAATCCACCAGATGAAAACCCCTGCCTTCATTCGGTATATTTTAGTATGTACTATTTTATGTAATAAATGCTGTGAAAGGAAGAAAAAGTTGGGGGGGAGGGAGTGTTCAGGATCACTGGCTGAAGGGAGGCAGCTTCAGTTAGACCCTACCGAGAACTTGAGATTTGAGCAAAGACTTGAAGGAGGTGAGGCAGTTGGTGAGTGGATGTCTGGAGGAGTGTCCTGGTGGAAGAAATGGCCAAAGCAGAGGCCTGGCAGCTCCTGCCCACTGTGACGGGGACTACCCTAAAAGCCAGTGTGGTTGGAACAGAGTGAGCAATGGGGAGTCCTTGGCCAAGGGCTGGGAGGAAGGGGGCCAGATGGTCTGGGGCCCAGTAGGCCACTCTGGGAACTTTGGCCTTTACTTTGAGTGCCATTGCAGGGACTTGAGCAGAAGGAGGGTGTGATTTGATTTATGTGTTGAAAGGATCACACAGGCTGTTGAATTGAGAATCCTTTATTTGACTGTTCCACTGAATTAGGTTTCTTTTCCGTCAAAAAGACATAAACCAAATGCAACCTAGCTGAAGAAAAGAAAAAAAACCTATTGGCTTATGTTGAAAAGCCCCAGGTATTTTGGTTTCCGGATTGGCTGGAACTAGGTATTCAAATGATGTTGGGAGTCTGTCACTTTTCATCTCTTGACTCTGCTTTCTCCTTTCTGTGTTAGCTCTGTTCTCAACGGTGAAGGGATATAGCTTTGCAACTCCAGCAGAAAGAGAGCACCTCTTTCTTGATAATTCCAGCAAAAGCTCTGGGCTAGTGTCTCCTGGGCCTAAATTGGGTCAGGTGCTGAAGTCAGTCTTTGTAACTCTGACTGCCCAAGGCCTGGACCAGGTCCTTATCTTTGGAGGGTGGAGAAGGGAAGTTTTCGTGTGTATGTTTTAACTGTGAAATATAAATATGTGAAGTATAGAAATGCATCTGTATTAATAAAATGTATCTATACAGTTTAAAGAATAATAAAATGAACACACATAAAGTTAAGGCATAGACTCTTACCAGTATTTTGGAAGCCCTCTCTGTGCCTGGGGAGGAAGGAGGTGGTTTCCAAAGCAAAGTCAGGATGCTCCTCCTAGAAGGAGGAGGAGCGAATGAATGTTGGACCAGCGTCTGTTGTTTCACAGATGTCCGTTACAGACCTTTCACTGCCTTCCTTGCTGTCACTTTGTAACTTCCCTGTTTCTCTTGTTGATTAAAATCTTGAAACCCCCCAACTAACTGTCTTCTCAAATTATGCCTTTACTTCAGGGAACTCTGTCCAGATCTCTAAAGCTATCAGTTTCTTGATCTTTTATCTAGTCACCTTCCCCTTTTTTCCAGTTCATTTGC